TGCACTTCTTTTTGCCCGCAATGACAGCAACTTTTTGCATCCCGGCTGCTTAAGTGCTTTTCCCATTTTGCCAATCTTAAGTTTGCAGACATACGTTTCAATGTAGCTTGACGTAAAAGATTCATTTTTAAGCCTTTTTGGCTAAATTATACACGTTTTAGCCGAATTTTGTGCCCATTGACATAAACTCCTGCATTCTTTTTTTTTTTTTTTTTGCAGGAGTAGATGTGGCACATTACGCCAGGCACAGAAAATTACAATTACAAGCCCTCACCGCTTACCCTCCCCCCTCGTTTTGAGTGCACCTGTGCTCTTGGTTATCGAAATTCAGTGGAGGTCTTTCAGGAATAAGCACTGGTGACGAAGTAGAGTTTGAGTTCGGTGAAAATTTTCCACTCGATGCGAGACATCTGAATCGAGTTCACGAAGAGCTGGAAAAACTGAATATTGCAACTGATGTAATCAATAAACTGGAGCTACAGCTTGATGAGGCTCGGGCCACTTTCAGGTACGCATCTTCTTTCGCCTTGAGAAGTTTTCCCCCCGGGAAATCGAGTTTTCGCTTTGTTTTTTCATTTCTCACAGATTGCTTTTGCAGGAAGATTCAGGCATCGTGGTCGCAAAAACTGAATGAATTAAGTCGAAAATATGGTTCAGCTATTGCGAAAGGTCGCCCCTATTATGAAGCCAAACTTAAGGTACTACTATGAAATTACATTCAGAAATAAATTGATTTTAGTGGATAGTGGAAGAATTTGGGGAAGACATCAATTCGGAAACGTGCTTGTGGGAATCTTACTAACAGATTTTTTGTAAAATATTGAAAAACCGAAGCTAAAAATCTTCATTATTTGCTGGAAAATCTAACTGTTTGTACTTTTTAACTAAATCTAGCGCTTTTTTTTGCTGTAATAACACTGAGCGCTCCAATGTGCGCCATGTTTTTCTTACAGTTATACGATTGTCTCAATGAGCATACTTATTGTGCCTTTTTAACCAGAATGTAACATAGTATAACCGAAATTCGTAAGCAAAAGAATGACAAATATCATGAGTTTGAGCGAAACAAGACGAAAATTGACAAGAAAAAAGTATGCAAACCAAGAATTTTATTGTGTATGCTGTTGAAATAGTAGTAATAAGACGGGAAAAATACGCAAGAAAGGACATAAGAAAAAGTAAATGAAATAAAAAGAAAAAAAAAAATACAAAACAAAGGATCGTTTTTCTTGCAAATCCTGTGAAATTTTGGAAAAATTTCTTGCTTTTTTAGGAACGGCAACTACGAGAGGAAGCACAGAATGCAGCAATTCACTTTGAGCGTGCCAATTCGATGCATGCAGTGGCGAAGCAACAGGTCAAACTCACTCAGGACAGTTTAAATCGACAGCGCACCATCGAACCTGAATGCCTTGAGGTATTACTTCTACGTGTGCAGATTAGTGATAACATTTCTTGCCATTTAATTAATTCTTATAATTTACAAATTTTGTAATTCTCATCTCCTGTCTTTTTTACTCTTCGTCTTCCTTCATCAGTAGTAAATACACTTTATTTTTTGTTCTTCTTTGTCAAGTGGCAGCAGTATAGTTTAGAAACTAAAGCTGTTCTTCCGATTTCAACCCAAATTATGTTACTTTTTATGCATTTTTGCATAATATGCAAAAACACACATTGTGACGACCCCTTGTGCGTATATATGTTTGTGTGCGTCTGTCCGCGTGTTTCAACTCGGCACCCAAGCAAGCGGTGCTAAAATTTTACGAGTGGGTTCCCCGGCCAAGTGGCACCAATCCTCAAGCACATCTAGGCCCCACGTACGACCTCCTCAAAGTTTTGGCGGAAAATCGCTAACTTGGGAACCGGAAAAGCTAGAAAGCTGAAACTTTTGGATCATGTTTCCAGTCTAAGTAGAACTCAAAGATTTCAAATTCAGCCTCCGGGGTTTCGTGGTTCCCGCGTACGGCCCGTGAGAGTTCCTGACGCGAAAACCGTTAGCTCGAAAACCAAGAAAGC